ACACAGCATAATGACTTTTTCAGGAGGGTATGAGGGATAACTGAATCCCGAGGGAGCCTTCAGGCTGTCTATGTCATAACACACACACACACACACACACACACACACACACACACACACAAAACCAGGTGTGGCAGTCTGCTCCTATAATCCCTGCACCTGAGTCGTGGACACAGGAGCAAAAGAAGTTCAAGGTCACTCTCAGTTATATATAGAGAGTTTGAGACTAGCTTGGGCTACGTGAAACCTTGTCTCAAAAAAAAAAAACAACAAAAAACAAAAAAAATCAAACTTCCTAAGTGTGGGGTTTCAGGCATGAGACACCATACCCAGCTCCATCACCCTCTTTCCAGGATTTCATGTAGTGCAGGATGGCCCCAAACTTACTATGTAGCCAAGGATGACCTCGATCTTCTGAATCTTCTGCCTTTACCTCTCACTCTACTGAGATTACAGACATGAGCCTCCATAATTGGTTTATATGGTGCTGGGGACCAAACCCAGGGTTTAGGGCACACCAGCAAGCACTTTACCAGCTGAGCACCATCCTTAGCCTCAACTTTCTCTTTAAAAATGTTAGGCTTGCCAGGCGGTGGTGGCACACGCCTTTAATCCCAGCACTCCGGAGGCAGAGGCAGGCAGATCTCTGTGAGTTTGAGGCCAGCCTACTCTACAAGAGCTAGTTCTAGGACAGGCTCCAAAGCTACAGAGAAATGCTGTCTCGAAAATAAAACAAAACATCAAGCAAAAAATGTTAGGCTTGCCTAAATTCTGTATTTGTTTCCTTTGCCCTAAAGCTAGCCAATGCCGAACTGGGGTTGTAGCTCAGTGATATAGCACTGGCCTATCACGAGCAAGGCCTTGGGTTCCGTCCCTAGTATTCAGGCGTTTCCCATAAGGGCACAGGTTCTCCAACGCATTGCAATACAGTGCATAGGAAATTCAAATTCTTTGTGTGTTCCTAGAAACAGATATCTCCCCTGAGAGGACTATAATCCTATCAGTTGGGGTCCCACCTTCATCCTCATGTAATCTAGTCTTCTCCCTAAACTCCCAAAACATATAAAATCTCCAAATACAGTCACAATAGAGGTAAGGTCTTCAACACAGGTGGGCTTTGTTTGTTTGGTTTTGGTTTTGGCAGGGATGGAGTGGGGAGATGAACACTCAGTCCAGAGCAAGAATCTCTTTGTGGAAAAACTACAGTATTGGTGGTCCGCTTCCATTCATTAGCATGTCTCCCACCCACTACCCCGAATATTGACTATTCTGTCGGTGGCAAGCACACCGCACCCCTGTTAGCACTTGGCCTCTTGTGCCATGTTCAGTGTCTATTTTTCAACACTTTGCTCCCATCTCTCCAGGGACACAATACACCTTTCCCAGGCAGTGTGGTATGTTATCTCATCAGCTTTGTTAGTGTACACACAATATATTTCTGCATCCACCATTCTGGGTTCCTTTTTGGGTCCTGTCTCTTAATTCCTTTACAAACCAACAAGCCGGGCCTGGTGAGACACAGCTGCAATCCCAGTACTTGGAAGGTGGAGGCAGGAGGATTAAAAGTTCAAGTTTATCCTTAGCTACACAGCCAGTTTGATGCCAGTCTGGGATACGTGAGACCCTGTGTTGAACACACGCAGCGGTGACAGGCAATGCCATCAGTACCTTTAGAAACTGAAGAGGCTTTGGCAACTTCTTATGCCTCAGACTACTTCAGCCTCAGACTACTTACGAGGCTTCTGATGTGAGAGGTCTCATATTGTACATTCTTAAAATGGCCAGCAACTAGCTCCATTTTGGAGAATTCCAGGAAATAAGGGTTCTTATTATCCCCGAGCCTGGGACCTATACTGCCAGTATTGCCAACTATACTTTAGGTCATGAAAACTGCATCCCACAAGCTTGGCACAGTTATGAAGGCCTCCTTAAGTCAGTTCAGAGGACTGGAAATGCAGCCTAGTTGATAGAGCACTTGCCTAGCATGTGTGAGGGCCTGGATTTAGTCTCTAAACACTGCATATAAAAACTAGCCAGCTGGGCGGTGGTGGCACACGCCTTTAATCCCAGCACTCGAGAGGCAGAGGCAGGCGGATCTCTGTGAGTTCGAGGCCAGCCTGGTCTACAAGAGCTAGTTCCGGGACAGGCACCAAAGCTATAGAGAAACCCTGTCTCGAAAAACAAAAAAACAAAACAAAACAAAACAAAAAAACCAGCCACGATGGCCCATGCCCATAATCCCAGCAGTTAAGAGGCTGGGGTAGGAGAATTACAGATCTTGAATCTTGAGTTTAAGGCCCACCTATCCTGCCTTACAGGCCCCTGTCTCAAAGAAACAAAAAGCCAGTGTGGAACCTACCCTGGGCCCTCTGGTGTAAACCCACCTGCAGGTAGCTTTCACCATCCCCAGCTCCTAGGCAGACGCTATGGTGCTAGGCAAAGTCCATCCTTAGGCAAATGCAGCTCCTTGGGATGAATTGGGCAGTACTGGGCATCCATGGCTTATGGGAGGGGACTGCCAGTCACCAAGTGGGGTGAAGCTCAGCGAGTGCAGTGGCATTCCATTTAGTCAAGGTGTCTTCTAAAGGACGGGCTTGGAGGCTTATGCATGTGACCATCTTCTGGCGACCGCCTTAGCATAAGATGCTTTGGTTAACAGATATTTTCACTTTCATATTTATGAGGCAAAAGTGTTTTTTACCATTACTTAAATATTGTCCCCTCCAAGGTAAAGAACTTTTGCTCCCTGGAAGTACGAGATGTAAATGACGATCGCGACCATTTTTACGTATACCAGTCACAGTGCAAGGTTTGACAAACACCCCCTGTTCCCTTTATACCACAGGGTAGTGTTAATAAAGACATTCATTTCTCTTCTTAGAATACATAATATGGGGAGACTGGCGAGATGGCTCAGCAGTTAAGAGCACTGACTACTCTTCCAGAGGACCCAGGTTCAAGTCCCAGCACCCCACATGGCAGCTCACAACTCCAGTTCCAGAGACTCTGACACTGCTACACCAATACACATAAAAATAAAATTAATTTCAAAAAAAAGAATATACAATTATAATATGGGTGTTGCCAACCCCTACTTCCCCCCTCCCATACAAGACAGGCTTTTGAGCATTCTAGACAAGTGTTCTACCATTTAGCGACATTCCCAGCCCTACGGTATAATTTAAATCATCTCTAAATTACAATAAATAACACAACTGGGAGGGTTGGAGGCTTTGTTGTTGTTGTTGTGTAACCTGGTCTCTCTCTCTCTCTCTCTCTCTCTTTTTTTTTTTTTTTTGGATTTTCGAGACAGGGTTTCTCTGTAACTTTTGATTCCTGTCCTGGAACTAGCTCTTGTAGACCAGGCTGGCCTCGAACTCACAGAGATCCGCCTGCCTCTGCCTCCCGAGTGCTGGGATTAAAGGTGTGCGCCACCACCGCCCGGCTTCTTTTTTTTTTTTTTTTGAGACAGATTTTTTTTCTGCAGCTTTGGAGCCTGTCCTGGAACTAGCTCTTGTAGACCAGGCTGGCCTCGAGCTCACTCAAATTGTCAGCACGATGCCAGCAGATGCAGATACCTATATACATATAGATAGTAAGGTTACTATAATGAAACAAATGAATTTCGTCATCATCTGTAGTTCTCCTTTTTTGGTTTCTATAAAGCCTAATCAACAGACATGCAATATACTGGACTTGCATATTGTATACTGGATCTCTGAATATTTTCTCCTTTTATGTCCTTTCACCCACATCTCTCCACCAGTCTTCTTTAGATATGAATTTTGGATTCTTTTTTAAAGATTCCACATATAAGACCACGCAATAATTTTCTGTGCCTATCTTTTTTCACTTAGCACAATGCCTCTCGAGCGCATCCATTTTCTGGTAAGATCTGGTTCTCTTGACAGGACTGAGTCACATTCTTTTACGTGCTAGAGTTTCTCTTTCCACTCCTGACAGCTTATTTTCATAGCTTGGCTATTGTGGATCATAAGAATGAACAAGGAAAGCAGAGAGCTCTGCGAAGGTATCATTTATGTTAGAAAAAATATTGCTGGGTGGCTTAATTTTTAGTATCTCTGAAATCCTCTGTACTGTTTTCCGTATGACCAAAACAATTTGAATTTATTACTTCTTATAAGGGAGTAAGTACAGCAGAGAGGGTGGGAAGAGAAAGGGTTAAAAAGACGACCCCCCCCCCCCCAAGCCTGGTGGAATAAGGCTGTAATCCTAGTCCTTGGGAAATGGAAGTAGGTGGGTCAGAAGGTCAAGGTCATCCGCCTCACAGTTTGTAGGTTTGAGGTCAGCAGAGCTTGGTAAGGTCCCATCTCAGAAACAATAAAAATTATAAAACTAGAAGATCGAGCATCACCCAGGGCCACATCTCTTTCATCATTATTTTATTTGTATTTTTGCCTGTATGTATGTCTGTGTGAGGGTGTTGGATCCTGGAGTTACAGACAGTCGTGAGGTACCTTGTGGGGGATGGGAATTCAACCCCCGTCCTGGAAGAGCATTCAGTGCTCTTAACCGCTGAGCCATCTCTCCAGCCCCAAGGGCAACATTCTTAGTGGCAACTATCCGCTAGAACTGAAGCTTCACACTCAGGCACTGTACAACCCCCCTGAAGCATCTGGGTTTGCGACTCCAGTTCCCCACCAGTGACAGCAGCGGATGACCACCGAAATCTCACAAGAGCAGAGTATCAGATCCAAGAACACAGACACTTCAAGTCTCGGTTGCCTCCAAACACCAGAAAATTCCTATCATGTCAGAGCCTGGGCTTCAGGAACCTTTCCCAACACTAGGAAGAAAAAAAAAAAAAAAAAAAAAAAAAAAACAAAAACAAAAGCCTTACTAGCGCCGGAAGCTCGGTACGTTTGCCATGATCACCTGACCCACCAGCTGGCTTCTGATTGGAGCTACTGGGGTGGGACCGAGTCCCAGAGGCTACGGTATTGGTTAGTCCCCCAGGGCTCGTCCAATCAGAACTCTTCTTCTTGCGGCGCGAAGCGAGCGAAGCGGGGCGCCGGAGGGCCTCGTCGGCGCGCGGAGTTTGGATTTAGGTTGGCGCGGCGTGAGCCTGAGTGAGGTGAGTTCGGCGAACTCGGGGCTGCGGCGACTCTGCCAGGTACTCGGCTCTCCCCGGGCCTGCCCGGAGTCCCAGGCCTCGGCCATTCCCCTAGTCGTCCGCCCCTATTCTCGCTTGTGGCCAGTAGCCCTGGCGGGAGAAAAGCCCCAGAGCCCCAGAAAAGGCCCAGTCGGGCGGCCGATGCTTGAGTCTTGCTGTCCACACATTCCTTAAGGTCCAGGATCTTGCTTTTTGTCTGTCACACGCGAGAAATGGTCTCATCTGTTCCCCGGCGTTTAAGGCTGCAACGACCCCTTATCAACACACAAATTGCCCTGGTTTTAGACGGCTAGAATCCAAAGCTCCGGCCTCATTTGCCTAAAGGGCACGTGGGCTTGGATGCCAGAGAGAAAATCTGAGGAAGACCTGCCCAACTCGGAAGCGTGTCCCACTGCCAACCTATCCATCGGTCACTTGCTGGCTGAGATGAACCCGCCTCCCACTTGACAGCTCCCGGCGCCGTCAGCCACACAGCGCTCCTGTGCCTACCCCATTAAGGGGCAGGGGTAGGAAAGACTGATTGAGAGGTCCCGAGGTGGAGCAGCGGAGAGGCAGAAGCCTGGGGAGTGGAAAATCCATTGGATCTGTAGTGGAACTTGGAAGACTATTCTTCCTCAGTGCTGACTAGCTGAACACCACGCCCAGATTGAATCAACAGTCTGTTAGCCTGGCTGCTATTCTGTCAGAAGGTCGCTTTAAATTTACTTGGAGGAAATGGAGTTTCTAGGTGTCAAATCACTTTTGGGGTTGGGGACGAGGTTTTGAGACAGGGTTTCTCCGTGTAGCCCTGGCTGTCCTGGAACTCACCCTGTAGACCAGGCTGTCCTCAAACTCGGGGATCTGCCTGCCTCTGCTTCCCATGTTGGGGGAGGAGGCAAAGGTGTGCGTCACCCCCACTGCCCCATCACTTTCAATGCTAGTTCCCAAGGCAGGGAGTGGCTATCAATATTTTTTGTTGTTGTTTTGGCTCTTGTCGTCCAGGGTGGCCCTCAAACTTGTGTAGCTGAGGTTGACCTTAGACTCCTGATCTTACAGCCTCACCTCACAAGTGCTGGGGTTACAGGCTCGTGCCACCAACCCAGATATTTTAAATTGTATGTTTTGAAATGTATACCCTTAAATTAAGAGAGCCTAGCATAGAATGTAACATCTTAAGCTTGGTTGATGGGCATATAACTGTCTGTCTGTTTTCTGTACGTTTCCTTTGTCTTTTGTGGGGAGTGGGGATATGAGTGTGTCCTTGTTTATATTCATGCAGGTGTGTGTGTGTGTGTGTGTGTGTGTGTGTGTGTGTGTGTAAGCAGGCCAGATACATCTTCCTCGGTTGTTTTCCACCTTAGTGTTTGGGACAGTCTCACAGTAAACCTGGAACTTACTGATTTAACTAGCAGGCCTCCCAGAGCTGGCATTATAGGTACATGTTACCACACCTGACTTTTTAGGTGAGTTCCAAAGGTCTGAAATCAGATCCTCATGTTTGCACTTAGACTAACTGAACCATTTCATAGGTCTTTTCTGTCTCACTGGGTTCAAAGGGATTGCGAGCCGATGTGTACAATTTAGTGTCTAAAAGCCTCTGAGTGTAGAGTTAAGATCAGCTTCCACAGGAGTGGTGGTTCACACCCGTATAATTCCAGCGCTTTGAGTAAGACAGGAGAATGGAGAGTGAGCAGCTGTATGGAGACTACATGTCAGAAACAAGCTACCTGTGGCAGCTCAAGCCTGTGTCCACACACATGGAAGGGGAGGCAGAAGGGTCAGGAGTTAATTCTACCTCGGGTACATAGTGAATTTGAGACCAGTCCGGAATATATGATGAGACCCTGTCTCCAAATCCCAAAGCAAACATAAAAATGCCCATTGCTTTTTTTTGGGGGAGGGGGTTCGAGACAGGGTTCTCTGTATCTTTGGAGCCTGTCCTGGAACTAGCTCTTGTAGACCAGGCGGGTCTCGAACTCACAGAGATCCGCCTGCCTCTGCCTCCCAAGTGCTGGGATTAAAGGCGTGCGCCATCACCGCCCGGCTGGTTCAGAGATTTTTAATTGAGTGTTATTCTGTATAGCATACAAGGGCTCTAACAATGAACTCTGCTACCAGCTCTTGGTGTTTGAGACAGGTCTTGTTATATAACTCTGGCTGGCCATGATCTGGCTATCCTTGTCTCTGACTCCTGAGTGCTGGGATTATAGTTGTGTGTCACCATGACCAGCTCTATGTGTTTTGCTAGTATTTGTTGTTAATTTTCTGTCTCCTTTTGCTCTGTGTCATGGTAGGAGTTGCGCCTAGGGCTGGTGCTCACCAGGCAGGTGTTTCACCACCACTGAGTCACACTCTAGCAGTTGATGTTTCTAAAATGCGTCTGGTCGAGAGCAGTGGTTCTTTTGGGAAAGTGCCTACTGCACAAGCATGAAGACCTAAGTTCAGATCCCCAGAACCCACATAAAAAAGCCAGTCCAGCAGCACAAACCTGTAATCTCATCACAAAGATGAGACAGGAGCTTGTTGACCAGCAAGTCTAGTCAGACTGACAAACTCCAGGTTCAGTGGAAAGACACCTAATTGGCTCTGGCCTCCACACGCAAACTCACACACTTGCACTTGTGAGTATAACACACACATTGACACACCCACACACCCTATCATGGAAATCTGATTTGCAGCAGGTTGGAGAGAAGTTGTGGATAATATTGGGGTCCCCTATTAGAGTCTGAAACAGATGAAAGAAAGGCATGGGGCCAGGCATGGTGGTGTGCAACTATAACCCTAGTGCTCAAGAGCCTCCACAGTAGGATCACTGGGAGTATAGGCAGTGGTGGCACACGCCTTTAATCCCAGCACTCGGGAGGCAGAGGCAGGCAGATCTCTGTGAGTTCGAGACCAGCCTGGTCTACAAGAGCTAGTTCCAGGACAGGCTCCAAAACCACAGAGAAACCCTGTCTCGAAAAACCAAACCAAAACTAAACAAAACAAAACCACAGAGAAACCCTATCTCAAAAGAAAAATACAAAACCAAAAAAGATGACAGTCCCACCATACAGATGAACCTCGAAGACATTCTAGTAAGCAGAATTGTCAGTTACAGAGGAACAAATACAACATAACTCCACTTACAGTAGGGAAGGTGCTATGTGTAGGGAGATAAGCAAATTCTATTTGATTAGCTTTAGGAGTGAAAGACGAAGATGCCTGGAGAGCTGCAGGACAGCACTCTGCCTATATTGTATTATTCACCTAAAGAAATTTGAGACAAGCCGGGCGGTGGTGGCGCACGCCTTTAATCCCAGCACTCGGGAGGCAGAGGCAGGCGGATCTCTGTGAGTTTGAGGCCAGCCTGGTCTACAAGAGCTAGTTCCAGGACAGGAACCAAAAGCTACGGAGAAACCCTGTCTCGAAAAATCAAAAAAAAAAAAAAAAAAGAAAAGAAAAAGAAAATTGAGACAGCAAGCAAGAGTTCAAAACCAGCCTGGGCTATACAGTAACACCCTGTCTCAAAACCAAAAATGAAACAAATTCATTCAGAGGGTAGATTTCAGGTGTTCTTATCACAATAAAATGAAAACAACTGGTATAATGAAAACAACATTTCAATTTATTAGCAATATATATTTAAATATTTCATGGGCATTGGTGTTTTGCCTGCATATATGTCTCTGTGAGAGTGTTGGATTCCATGGACTTGGAGTTACAGTTGTGAGCTGCCATGTGGGTGCTGAAAATTGAACCTGGAAGAGCAGCAAGAGCTCTTAATCGCTGAGCCCCAATGAAATATATTTTTAAGGTATAAAAATTGGTGCTAAAAAGAACTCGGTAGTTAGAGCACTTTCTACTCTTCCAGAGTACCCAGGTTTGATTCCCAGCACCAACATTGCAGGTCACAACCATTTGTAACTCTAGTTTCAGGTGATCTAATGCCCTATTCTGTCACCCAAGGACACACAGACATGCATGCAGGCAAAATACTCATAAACAAAGTACTTTTTTTTTTTAATATAAAAAAGGGGCTGGAGAGGTGGTCCAGAGGTAACGAGAACTTGTTTCCCTTGCAGAGGATCCTTGCTTGTCATCATTCCGTAAGCCTGACAACCATGAGATCGGATGCAGACGTGTGGGTGTCTGTAACCCCAGTGCAATGATGGGAAGTGATGATGGAGGCAGGAGAGTCTCTAGAAGCTGTCAGCCAGCTAGCCTGGGTTGCACGGTGGTGGGGAAACCCCATCTTAAGAAGGGCAGAAAGTCTAGGAGCCAATAACTGAAGATTGTCCTCTCTATACCTGCCACGTGGCTGCATCCCAGTGTGCACACACTTACACAGTATCAGACTCGGCTATTGAGTTCCTCCAGAAAAACAAAAGTGAGAATTTTGATTGGAATTTTATCAGTTTGGGAAGAAGTAGCATCTTGAGAATAGTACCTTTTTGTCATGAATGTGGCTCATTCGTTCTTTAATTTTTATTTATTTATTTATTATGTATGCAATATTCTGTCTGTGTGTATGTCTGTAGGCCAGAAGAGGGCACCAGACCTCATTACAGATGGTTGTGAGCCACCATGTGGTTGCTGGGAATTGAACTCAGGACCTTTGGAAGAGCAGGCAATGCTCTTAACCACTGAGCCATCTCTCCAGCCCTCGTTCTTTAATTTTTTAAAGAACTTGGTTGTTTCTCATGAGCATGTGTATGTGTATAGACATAGTTTGTTGGATATTGATGTCACTGTACGTAAATCATAAGTTTTCTGGTTTTTTTTGTTTGTTTTTGTTTTTTCGAGATTGGATTTCTCTGTGTAACCCTAGCTGTCCTGGAACTAGCTGTAATCTAGTATTGTGGTGAGCTCTCTTAGTTGATTTTCTAGTGATGAACTAGCCTTGTATTCCCGAGACAACAGAATATGGCTCTGGTTTTATATATAGCTGGGTTTTGTCTGCTGTCATTTGGAATTTGTGCACCTACATCTGTGAATAA